AAGTAAGTAGGTAGGTAGGTAGGTAGGTAGGTAGGTAGGTAGGTAGGTAGGTAGGTAGGTAGGTAGGTAGGTAGGTAAGTAGGTAAGTAAGTAAGTAAGTAAGTAAGTAAGTAAGTAAGTAAGTAAGTAAGTAAGTAAGTAAGTAAGTAAGTAAGTAGGTTTATTCAGTGTCTAAGGCCATTGGCGCACATCACATCATAGAAAACACTCATTTGTTAAAAAAGTTTCCATAGTGAAAAAGTACAGGCTGTGCACACATATCTCTTGTCATGGGTCAAACATAGCATATTTCTGTCACTGGGCCGAGTCAGGCTGGGAGGAATTAACAATTTCCTTTGATGGACAATGCACTTGTATTGAGAGGTAAGCGAGAGGCACACTTTAGTAATCCCTGTGCTGCCCACTAGTGCTGCGAATCAAACACACTCTCTTCACCTTGTGCTGTACATTGGGGAAATCAGGGCCAGTCACTTTGTTTTGTTTTAGTAAGGTTTTACGGTGCTCGCAACTGCAAAAGGTCATATAAGTGCCAAGGGGTGGATGTCAACAGAGAAGTCCAAAAGGGGAATCAGGCTTACTCTGCTCACCTCTCTAGCCTCAAAAGCACAAAGTCTGCTTCGACTATCAAGATACCCCGGAAATAGCAGTTCACAAGAGAGTGACAAACATACAAAAGAAGCAGAGAAAAAAATGACGATAGCAATGATGAGGAAAACAAAAGCAGCAGTTCCCCGTATATTGTAAAGGCACAGTTATAAGCATGATATTGATAAATCAGCCCATTTACAATTCTACTGTGCATAAGAACTTGTGAATATCCCCCCTTTGGGAATGGCCTAAAGACACTTCAGTCAGTAGCACTGCGCTGGTGTGTGCAACACAGACTGATGTCCTGGAGTCATTTTGTGTCCCCGGGGTTGTATTCTTCACATTTTAGACTAAGAATACTTCTAGAGCAAAGATCACTTTGAAACTTTCAGTATTTCTCAAAAAATCATTTCGACAGACTGCTATGCAAAGCGAACGGGTCGTATTAATGAGTAAATTTTCTCTTTGGAAAGTGGTGGCACAGAGATCCCCACATCGTACAGATACGATAGTAAAACACGACGTACGGATAGGGTTAAGGAAGAAAAGCTGAAAAATCTCATTCTGCAAACCCACCCATATGATATTGACACTTACCAACCATCTCCCTACTCTACCCTTCTTGCCGACCTTGGCGACCCCTGTGGACTCCATCCTACAGTCGACGGTCGAGTCTTCCTCTGGGTAATTTCCCTTCTCAAACTTCATCTCGACTGACATTTTATCACCAGTATCATCTTTGTCAAAGAAGTAGGAGGCAACGAGGTTCTCCTCAAGATTTCCCCCACCAACAATAAACCGGCCAAATCAAGGACAGACGTCAAGCATCTCCATAGATAGGGAAATAACACACACACAATTTCCTCCTATCAAACGACCGTTAAGAATTCAAAAGCAATAGCTTTCGACACAGATCGGGTAAGAATGCAAACATAACTCCTAGTTTTCATATATCCAGTAGAAACACAAACATAACTCACTTCCGCATTTCATAAATCAAGTTGTATAAAACGCAAACACGCAACAATTTGTTTTATAAATCTGGTAAAAACACGAGTTTCTTATTCAGTTCCTTATTTCATAAATCACCTACGAATGTCAGCACGTATCAATTTGTTTCATTAATGAGGTAAAAACACAAACACATTTCAAATCCTCGTTTCACAAATCAGAAAGAAAGGATCAGACACGGACAAACTGTAGCTCAGAGACGGAATCGAAAAATTCAACTTTTCTGCTCCTCAGTGCAGCGAGCCACAGACAAACAGTGGCAAATACCCTGGCCTCCTTTTAACCTGCCAGACGGCAAACGAGAATCAATTCCCACTTCCAGAAGAAAAACATGCTTTGAACATCGCAAACCAATTCCTTCAATAATGAAATAATAATGTTCTGAACAACGCAGCCTATTCCTCCAATAATGAAATAATAATGATGAGGTTCCGGGAGCCTAATCCTCCAGTAATCTTCGGCTGTGACCAAGACCATCCGCCCCAACTCAACAGTCAAACGCTCCTCGATATTCACAAATGTCACAACTGTTTGCCATTTATGAGGAATTGGAATCACCCTTCCTCTCTCATCTCTCTCCCACACTCTGTATCTATATCTCTCTCCCCCCACCCACTCT